TTTTCCCGTGCCTCATCTCATTTGATCCTCACAGAAGTCCTGGAGTAGGTAGATAGGAGACTCGGTGGAATCCTATTTTCTTTTCATTAGTCAGAAAATGGAGACTTAGAAAGCTTAGAAGCTTGACCTGACTGGAAAGAAGTAAGAAATGGTGGACCTTGAAAGTGACTTCAGGTTTTCTCACTGCACAGAATATAGTCAAACACGGCTGCAGGTAAATATTTTACCCTTTGTTCTCCCTGCGTGACCTACAATAATAATCTGCTTTGTGTTGATATTTACTGCTGTGTTGTTGACAATTACCTGAAAGAGAAGTTGGGGTGCCTCAATGGGCTGGAAAAAGTTTAGTTGCATCAGAAAGCAGGTCTAATTAAGCAAGTTTATTCTATATATATAAAAGGCTAAGTTGACTCGCACATATGCAATACACATAAAGCACTCGCTGATGCCAGTTGCACACGTGTCTCAATCTGTCATTGTTGATCGTGAATTTGGTTGACACTTCTATTATGAGAAAGGGAAAATAGCGATATTAAAATATTTCTTCTAATTAATTTCCTTTCAATGTGCACGAATTCGTGCACTGGGCCACTAGTCTAAACATAATTAAGAAAATGTCACGCCGAAACCAGTTTGGCTCAGTGGATAGAGCGTTGGCCTGCGGACTGAAGGGTCCCGTGTTCGATTCCGGTCAAGGGCATGTACCTTGGTTGCGGGCACATGGAAGTCTCCTAGCCTGGGATGGGATGGAATGAGGGTAGGGGCTGAGCTGAGTCTTTTTAAAGGAGCAAGAGTCAGTCTGGTGACATGCAGGGGACATGGCACTTCAGACAGAGGGGAGAGCATAAGTAAAAAGAGTAAAAACAGAGGAGAGGACAGCACCGTGATGGCGAACCTTTTGAGCTCGGCGTGTCAGCATTTTGAAAAACCCTAACTTAACTCTGGTGCCGTGTCACATATAGAAATTTTTTGATATTTGCAACCATAGTAAAACAAAGGTTTATATTTTTGATATTTATTTTATATATTTAAATGCCATTTAACAAAGAAAAATCAACCAAAAAAATGAGTTCGCGTGTCACCTCTGACACACGTGTCATAGGTTCGCCATCACTGTTCTAAACTATGCTTACGGTTTTCCCCAGCAAAAGGGCTTTAAACCATTTCTACGCCCATTAATGTTAAACCAATACCACTTAGCTTCCTTATTTTCCTAACTGAAACAATTCACTTCCTTTTTGGTGCCGTTTGAAACACAACTGTAAATCACTGTAGAGGAAGTATCACTTCCATAAAAGCAAAAGCAACCAAGAGACCCAAGGGAAAAAATGCCTTTGGCCTCCAAGCAGTAAAAAGCAAGCTTAAAAAGAGGATAATTAGGTATTTACACTAAAACCTTAGAACCAGGCTCCCCAGCTAAGAAACTCTTATAATTATATCAAAATAACTCAAGAAACAATCTGAAGAGGCTCCCTCTAGTCAAGGACAGTATGAACATCATTATGAATAATTACTACAGTGCATTAAAACTTCTCAGAGAGGTTTATATCCATTAGTTTATAATGAACTAAGAAAATAAACTTAATTGGTCATCAGTGGAGAATGGTAGTGAATCAACTTATTTTTAAAATTGTATCTTGTCTTTCTGATATAAACTGTACCTCGAAGCAATCACATAGCTGAGGGTTTCTCTTCAGAAAAGTTATCCAGCCCTGACCGGTTTGGCTCAGTGGATAGAGCGTCGGCCTGCGGACCCAAGGGTCCCAGGTTCGATTCCGGTCAAGGGCATGTACCTTGGTTGCGGGCACATCCCCAATAGGGAGTGTGCAGGAGGCAGCTGATCGATGTTTCTCTCTCATCGATCTTTCTAACTCTCTATCCCTCTCCCTTCCTCTCTGTAAAAAATCAATAAAATATATATTTAAAATAAAAAAAAGAAAAGTTATCCAGCTAACAAGGGAATATGAAATGATAGAACATCATTATTGTGTGACTCCTAATGAATAATCATAATGGCATTTACATGGAATAAGCACAAAAGGCAAATCAATAAAGACAGAAAAGTAGGCTACAGTAGTGGGATGGGGATAGGAGTTTAACGAAAAATGGGCATGAGGTATCTTCCTGAGGTGATGGAAATGCTCCCAACTCAATTACAATGATTGCAGAACTCAGTAAATTTTCCAAAAATTATTAAACTATACATTACAATGGGCAAATTTTATAACATGTAAATTATACTTCAGCTTTGAAACTTGTTAAAATAATCACAATGGCTGT